GCAGAGAGACCAGTTTTATTAAGATGGCTTCATTTGATATTGTTTTTAAGCTGTGTATAATTTAATAATTCAGATCTTGACAAATTTGCTCTTTTTATGTATGTACCATATTTTATGCGTTTGATCACGTATCATCGTACGTTGTTAGTATAATCCAAAGTTTGACTTAAAAACTTCCAACTTTGTCAAACTAAAATAGGCATCATTGCCATAGAATAATTATGCACATAATCATTTTTTCTTTTTTCATCCCAGTTTGAACATAACATAAGTATAGTACAGTGAACATTGTTAGAGTCGTGAAACCTGAGATGATCATAGCATCTATCAAGGACCCAATTGATCTAAACTGTTGAAATCCATGCTGTGATTGAACTGTGTATGTGCACAGCTTGCAGCTAGCTCTTTTAAACAAGAGATTAATATAAAAAAGAATACGTAAGAGCCGGTCCAGTTTATATATATGAATATTTTTAGGGTATGGTTGGTGGATGTAGCTTCCATGTGTCAGAAGGCGGTTCGATTGCTTTATTGTGTGAGGTTGTGGTATTTTTGTTTGCTGAGAATGATGGAGGTGAGACTTGACAGGTTGGAACTGATGAAAGAAGGAAGGTAGTTTAAGACATATTCGTTAAGGGGGAAATAGAAAAGCAAAAGGGTCTCTTTTTGTCAATGCATATTTTTTATTTGCACATTAATTTCATTGTTTGAAGAAATAGGGGACTGTGGGCTGAGATGCCTTGAGATGATACTGCACTGCAATATGAAGTATGTGATGGAAGAATCTCAGTGAGACAAAGCAACACAAAAGCATGGCAAAGTGAAAGCATATATCCCATTGCTTCATCTTTTTGAGCTCCTTTTTCAAAAGCCGTACAAAAATAACATATGCACCAGTACGAATAATTCACGTTATGGGGTCTGATTAAGAATTCCAAACTTATTAAAAGCCAAATGCACTGTCTTCTACCAAACAATTTACCATAATCATTCTCTCATCATTTTACCTTCCTATTACTTCTTCTCCGTCTATCTGGAAAGCACTTTCTCTTTTCCCGTACCTCAACAAACATGGGATATATACGAAACATTTTTCCTTTTCCAAACACCAATGTCACAGCTTTCAACTTAATCCACTGCATTACACTCATGAATAAGTTCCATATTAAACTTTGAACCTTTCTGTCGCTTCTCTTCTGCCCCTCATCAAAACCCTTTTAATCTCTATATAATATTAACCTCTCACATGACCAATTACACAAGATTCCAGAATGATATTTATTTAATCAACATTGCCGACCCTATCTGTTTGATATTTTATGTATAAGAAAACTGGTCTAATTAATCACCCTTGTTATTTGAAACTTGTTCATTTTTTCATTTATTTTATATGATCAAAGGGGTCCTTCTAATTGATATAAAAGACCAACCTTTTGTGATCTTCTTCATCAATTAATCGCCCTTTACTTTCTTCCAATATTCCACATCAAAGCAGCACCTTTCCACTTTTCCATTTTATATCCCCCAACTTTTGTTCCCTTATTAAAGGCCGCATGCAGCACCTAAGCTAAGCATAACTTGTTCACTTACACTTGCACACATAGGGAGAGAAGAGAAGGTGAGAATCTAAATTGTTTAGCTTATTAAGTAGTGACTCTATTCCATTCTCTAGCTCTTCAACAACATGACAGGGAAGAGAAACCAGACACCAACAACAACAACAGCAACAACAATAAGTCCTGTGGGAAGTCCAACTTCTGGTAACATCTCAGACAGCTCCTCAAAAGAACAAGACAGGTTCCTCCCCATAGCCAACGTTAGCCGCATCATGAAAAGGGCACTCCCTCCCAATGCAAAAATCTCAAAGGAAGCCAAAGAAACAGTTCAAGAGTGTGTGTCTGAGTTCATCAGCTTCATCACCGGTGAGGCCTCAGACAAGTGCCAGAGAGAAAAGAGGAAGACCATCAACGGTGATGATCTTCTCTGGGCCATGACAACCCTAGGATTTGAGAACTATGTTGGACCCTTGAAGCTCTACCTCAACAACTACCGGGAAACTGAGGGAGAAAAGAGTTCCATGGCCAAACAAGAAGAACACTCTCCAACTCATCAAACCAATGATGGGCTGCCTGAACTCAACAAGTTGCCTCATTCTTCTGCAACAAAACCAGACTTCAACAACTCTTTCACTGCTGGCTTCTATTCTGTGGGGCCTCAATTAACACCTCCAAAGAGCTTCACAGATATTGGAGGAATCAACGGTTATAGAGAGACCTCCATGAACAGTGTCATTGCTCAAAGTGCGGTCAGTGCTGATCAAGATGCAAGTGGTAATAGAATGATGCCATCTGACCTACGTTATAGGGTTGAATGGTAGATGTGACAACCATAGCAGCCTTCCCCCATTACATATCATATCATATATAATATAAATAATATTCTTATTACGATCTATCATATGATATAATTAACAACTTCATCGTTTATTGCTACATTCTGTAACACAGTATATTGTAGTTTGCAGTGTTAGTATTTATCTTGTGGCATGAGTCTAGTGTTGAAGGGAATATCGGTCTAAGATCGTATCTCGTACGGTTGAAGATTTTGATGCAAAAAGATAATGGACTTCACCTTCTTCTTCTTCGTGCTGTTGAAGAGGTGACTTAATCTTTACTTTGAACCCTTTTCGTCATTTCAAAAGTACTGCAACTTTATCAAGTACTGATGAACAAGAGTCACGTTTCCATCAATGAATCTAAAGTTAATTCAAGTTTTTCACAGCTATATATCTCCATTTAACTCACATTGTGAACATCACGATGAGATCAAACTAATGGGGAAAATGTAACAGGAAATTCAGAAATTGCGAGCAAAAAAATAAGTGTTGTCGCTTAGTGTACATTTTTCAAATTAAAAAAAAGATTAAATATTTTTTTTCTTTAAATTTGAAAATTTGAATTCTCACATTTTCAAAACTTTTGGATTAATTTAATTCTTCTTACAAATGTGTATGAATTTAATTTTTTTAATCAATTTTTTAAAAATTTATTTAACATTTTAAACATTTTTTAGTTAATATTATAAAACTATAAAAACAGTTTAAATATTATTATAAAACATATTTAAAAAATCAAATATATTTAGTTAAAAAAAATTAAATCTGTTCATTTCTAAATATAAAATATTAAATTGATATAAATTTTAAAAAATAATTTTAATTTTCACGGATAGTTAAATAACTAAAACTATATTTAAAATTTTAAATTAAACGTGTAAACGAAACAAAACAGAAAAGATATAGTATTAGCAACAACAAAAATTATATCTTAACCGTGATAAAAAGAAATCAAATTGCAAATAAAATAAATTTTTGTAACTCTAACAGGAACTAATATTTTGAAACAGACGAAGTGTGGTTTCTTTAGGGATTATATTGTGAGCTGCCATGTTCTATTATGCTATTAAAGAATAATTAATCTTTTAATAAGTCAAATTAGAGTAGAAAATTAGTTAAACATTTTATTTTGTATATTTTATCTATAGGTGACGTTCGGTTCATTAAATGCAATCTATCTTATTGTAGAAGTATGTTAAATGATTATTAAGTCTAACTGGTTTATAGCAAATTAATTAGTAGGACAATTGTTCATTTAATAATTATTTAAAAGATTGATACTCACGTGAGGTTTTAGAAGACGAGTAAAAAGGTTTAGTTATAAAAAAAATTTGTGTAGATTAATTTTCTTTAATCGTAACAGAAATTAAACTCTCATCTTAGAGAACTTACATATTGATTTATATACCTAACTCTACCATGAATACGTGGATTAATTAGCATGACTGTTCTAGTTTAATTAGTATTACTAAATTTGAGTTTAATATCTACCACATATACATAAAACGAGTAATTTTTTAGGCTAATTTTGTAATTAAATTACAATAATTTCTTTTATAAAAAGTATATATTTTTTTTCTTTTATTAGTATGTGTGAATCAATATAATTAATTTTGTATATGTAATTATTCTCATTGATTCGTGGTTGAATTACATTTATTAACAATTGATTATTTTTTTTGTTTTAATTGAGAAAATCACCAATTTAATTATTTTTTATTTTTTTCTTTTCTTTTGGTGTGTTTGCCATTAGATTTATCATTTAAAAATAAGTTTTGAGTTAATTTGATTAATTTTTAACATATTTATTTTAATTGAAGATGATAAACTCATTACTGCGAAGAAGTTTGAATTTATGAATGAGAATTAAAAAAATCATATACTTTTTAGTATTTTTTTTTTCTTTTATCAAACTTCTACGTTATATTTGGTATTAGACTTATCATTTATAAATGACTTTCTGTTAATTTGATTATTTTTTTAACATATTCATTTTAATTGAATATGATAAACTTACTACAATGAGAAGTTTGAATTTATGGGTGAGAATAATAATAAATTATATATTCTTTCCCCATATCAAACTTTTACGTTAATAAAATGTGAAAAATCCCCAAGTCATTCAAAACAAAATGTGAAATACTTGAAATATACTTGAAATACTTCGCGCTATTGTAGTCATGTTTTGCTGTTCTTTTCTCCAACCAAAAATATATAACTTTTGTTACAAGAGAAATCACATTTAACTATACAGTTTTAGTATCGGAGATAAACTTTCACAACTAAATAAAGTAAAGCAACCATGATCGTGTATACAGGTTTTTTCTGTAGTTGACAATAGCCACTTACAAGATAAATTCAACTACATTTTAATAATTTCTTAAAATTATATCAATCATTATTAGTAATTGCAATAGATACCCCAATCAACCACTTAATCTAGATGGCAAACAGGAACTACACAATCCAAATATCAAAGGATGAAACCAACATCACTAACATTTTGGAACTATTAACTCACCTTATTCAAAAGTCACATTGCTATAGAATAAATCCATTGAAGCCACCATGCAATCAAAAAAAGCTAAATTATAGACCAAACAGCAATGAATTAATTTCTTCATTTAGCTCAGAATCAAAACTGTCGTACATAGCTAACTTTGAAGGGAAAAAGAATTATCCGACAGCCACGCAAGTCGCAGCTCCAGAAGCTCAGGAATTCTCTTCAACAATGAAACAAGAAACATGTCTATACTCCTTCCAACACCTAGTTCACTTCTCTAGGATCTCTGATCTACAGTTTTACATTGTATGTCGCTTTAGACAACTACACTGGCAATGGAATTTCGATGGGGCACCAGGGGGTTGCCTCCTGAAATTCATTCATAATAAACAAAACATCTGTTGTGTTAGGCATAACAAGTTTTGCTGCCAATCACAGAACCTCATGAGCCTTTCCGTAATACCTGTTAATGAACGGAGACTGCAAACACAGATAATGATATTCTATAAATTATAAGTACATGGACAATAAATTTAATCAAGAAATTCAACAACGTTCATTCAAGTTCTGTTCTTCACTCTTATTAACCATGATGAATTGTTAGAGCAATATATTGTACGAAGTACCAAATTCAATGTGAACCAAGCTGATGAGAAGAGGGGAAAAGGAAAAAAGGAACTAAGGATCCACAGAAGCAAAGCACCTAATAGCTCAACGATTTTATAACTCTAATATCGAATAGCCAACTGATTTTTCAAAATATAGTATAGCCAGTATCCTCATACAATCCATCAAAGTTGAAAATGAGAAATTGAATACCTATTTCCAAGAGTGCTTTCTAGGAGATACACACATGTATATATGCACCCCTCAAATACCCGCCACTCTCCCTCAATGTTCCACCATAGGAATTACCAGTTTTCAGAGAATAAGCTAATACTAACAAGACGTTTGCGTCATTAAAAGAAAGGAATGAAATAGTAGCCACGCTGGAGCAATAGCAGCTGTGACTTTAAAACACGAAACAATAAAATTGCCATTGTCCTACAGTGCCACTCCGAACCACTCCACCGCGATAGTAGCTATTACAAGCACTATCGTCTACCTAGAGAGCCCCTTCTTAAAAAAAATATCAGGCCAATAGCCTTCTGCTTTGGTTTAAAGCACATGGTCTTTTTAAAAGAGTTTACCAAACTGATATACACACATTTATGTAGGCAACCCTAAAACGTCCACCATTCTCCCTCAATGGACGCAATTGTTATTAGTCTTAAATTGTCCTCAATTGTTAGGGGTGTTCAGGGGTACAGTAAGGTTGGATAGTGCTTCACTAAACTCAATATCAAACCGATTAAAATAATTTGGGTTAGATATATTATTTTTCTACCTAAACCGAACTCAATACCAAATATAAAAATATCTTCACTTTTCACAACTGGATATTATAAAGAAAATTGAGTGTTAAGTTTATCAGTGGAGTAAAAAACCGACTTCATAAATGACATGGAAGTCTACAATATAAGGCCCATGGATGGGTTCTCCATTAAAGATCTAACATGGAATGTTTGGGCAAGGAGACCAAGGACAAGAAAGGAAGAAAAAATGGTGTTTAATGTGTGATTTTTCTGAATCTTTATTTTTATAAAACATGTGCAAATACCAAATAAAATTCAAAATATATTATATAATGGATGGGTTGGATTCACCACCAAAACCTAATATCCAACCCAATGAACGATGGCTTTGTTGGGATTGGGTTGCATTAGTTTAGGTTTATGGTACCATAAACACCCCTAGCTATACGTATTAATATTATCAATTTTCAGATAATAAACTAAATACCACAAGATCAAATAACACATTCGCAGCTTGAATAGAAATAAAAAAAGAATGTAAATAGTAGAGCTGCTACTTTGAAAAGAGATTAGGCAATTGGCCTCCCGTTTGGCATAATGCCATCTTTTAAAGGCCCGTAAATAATACACATTGTGAAGGCACCCCTCACCCTCAATGTATTAGAAGACTTAAATATTCCAACGTAGGAATTACCCCTTTTCAGAGAACAGGCTAATAACATAAGATCAAATAAGACATTTGCAGCAAAAATAGAAATAAATGTAATAGTAGAGCAGATACTTTGAAATAAGATTAGGCAATGTGCTTCAAAATTGGAGTAAAACCAACGATTTTTTTATAGGGGTTTCCTTAACTTAGAAGTTGAGGATTGAGTACCCTTAACTCATTAATGTTATTCTTTACAGTTTGTATCTTTTTTTTATTAAAAGGAAGATATTTCATGCACTAACCATCTAAAATCCTATTCTTAATGAGTATATGTTTTTAACAAGAGAAAAAAAATAGTATAATGGAATGCTTGAAGACCCACCTTAACATTTGATACATCTGGTGCATCTGGAGATTGAACAGGGTAGAACTTGTAAAATCTCATAGACTCAAATGCAGCTTTAGTTTCCTCACTCATTTCTTCAATGGCCTTTTTCCGAGCCTCCCTTGCCTAAAAGAGGTAAAATAGGTTAAAAATAGAAGAATGTGTAAAGTGAAAAACAGTATGATCGGAACCAACAAACCTCTCTATTAGCCTTCTTTGCTTCACGAACCCTTTCCTTGACAAATTCCTAAAAAAAGTAAAAAGTATCAACCTAACTTCTTACTTAAAAAAACCAAGAAATTATGAGTTAACTAAAGGCCTTGTATAATTTGGTACCTTGAATGCATCCTTTTGATCTTCTAATAACTCCTCCTCCTCAACAAGTTTATCGGTAAACTCCTGTAAAATATAGAATAAATAAGTGTATGAGGCCTTTCTCTATTGTCCTTTGACTTTCCATTTGCCCTTTATTTTTACCCTCTATATATTAGGAGGGAAGTACAATCTAGAAACAGTGAAACGCATACAATCTACATTCCAGAGTCAATATTGTCGAATTCAGTAGCATAGCAACATGCAAAAGTTTAGAGTTTAAACGAGGAACTGTAAAATGACAAACGAAAAAAAACAGAAGTAATTTGGTTTTGGAAAAAAAAAATTCTCTCATTTCAATTTTTCCTTTTCACTTTTAAAATCCTATTTCTTGTTTTCAAATATTTGTATGTGAAACGATTACTGAAGATTTGCATGAGAAACAATGACTTGTTTTCACAATTTCTAACACAAATATTTGAAAACAGAGGGCCAAATAGTATTTCGTAATTAAAATTTAAAAACATATGAAAAAAATATTTTCTAATACCAAATGGTCCCTTAAAATTCCAGCAAAAATAATGTCATGCTTCGGGAAAACTCGGTTATTATAGGATTGTCAGTAGAAAACGAAAAATAACTAAGAATTTGATTTTAAAATTGCAATAGTTAGCTGGGGCTTAATCTGACATGTTCCAAACTACCCATAAGTGAATTTTTACCTCAAGTTCATCTAATTCCCAATCAAATTCACAGAAGACCTGCATAAAAGCAACACATAAGTAAACATATACCAAATAGAAAATTAAAAAGGGTAATAACCTGCCTATCTTTTCATGAAAAAATTATTTAGAAAGGTAATTATATAACCATATCATACAAAAAATATCCCAAACACTACTGATTCACTAGGAAAAGTTGTCTACAATGAATTACCGGCTTTGGCTCGTCAGGAAATATTATAGGAACTTCAGTGCTCTGTTCAAGTTCATCTTCCTTAAATGGCTGATAAAAATCTGCAGAAAGAATACCAGTCAATAACAAATTATCCTAACAGGAACATTAACACTATCTCTTGAAGAATCATTATGCATTGAACAAAATGAAGTATCAATATTTGATCAGCAGAAAAATAGCATTGTCTACAGATCTCCATCATTCTCACTTGTTTAATAAAATTCCATCATCTTCCTCCAATTAAATAGAAGTAGAATAGTATACATAATATGCTAAAAAAACAATTTCAATATTCTAAAACCGGTAGACTTACAAGGCAAGCAGTATTCATATTTTTTTAATCTATCCAACTTCAGGTGTTTTAAAGCAGACCTGCAAAGCAGATTACAACATGGGTAAGATAACTCGTTCATATCAATATAAGCTACATCAAGGTCAATAGGAAGAGATTACATGAGCAAAGATCATAAATAAAAATGACAACTACAACAGTAGATCACTTCATCAAGTTGCCTTCGGATATAAACTGTCAAATACTCAGTTTTCACAAATTAACTTTCTACAGATCCACAAACTCATTTATTTTGGATGACAGAGATGGCCCACGGGTCACCCAACAAAGATCAAAGTAAAGGAAGCAGAGTAAATAAATTTCTAAAATAATTATAATTTAAATGCTACATATTTTGAGAGGACAGTGGACGGAAGGCCTGAAACCAATCTAAATGAAAATTTAGACAGTAAAGAATACTTTACGCAGGTCACCAACAGGAGAGGGTAAAAATAGGAAGAAAAAAAAAAGATGCAAAAAGTTGAAGACTTCTTCATACTACTTGAAAAAACTACAGATTGTATTATGCAGCAGCATGCAGATGCGGGAGGAGAATATGATGCAACCACCAGACAAAATAACTAGAGAAAAGTCAAAGCACAATAACGAGATTAATTGAGCTGGCTACCCTAAAACAGTCAGAATCCATGTTTCTCCAAGAATAGCCCATTTAGAAGATCCGAAACAAGCAGTAGAACACAAAATTAAACAAAAGCAAAAAATAATGAGCTGTACCTTCTCTGGTTGCAGCTCAAGATAAATATTTGGGATTTTATCCTGTCCACTTGGCTATCTCTGTTTAAGACATAAAATTGTACGAAGGTGTTTAGAGATGGCAAAGAAGCAATGTTTCATAAACAGAATCCAAAGAAACCACCAAAAACAAACTAATTGAGATTAATACCGATCCTCCAAGGGAATATATGGAACCCAGTCCATTTTCATCTGCTTCATGGGAATTATCTCTTCAGCCTCTCTTTGGACTGAGTTTATTCCAATTTTATCAGATGGTGGGAAAGGTGATACAACCTGCAGAATGACGTTGAAATACTTTCAAAATTAAAATTAAAATCCAAACATTCAAAACATCAAAAATTGATAAGGTTGCTTCATCACATAAAACGGGCAACAGAGCACATTCAATGAACCTGCACTTCCAAGTAACACCTAAATCATTAAGGATGTTAAAGTCACCAAAGAACCACACCCCAGAAGAAAAGACTCGCAAATCAAAGAAACAAGCAACATAAAATGCATACTGGAAATAAAATGGTAAAATCAAACAGTCTATTTTCCTGAAAAAGCTCAGAAGCAAAAATGATATTGATAAACAAAATCAAGAGTGTTCGTGCTGAGATACATGTAGACAGTGCATTTTAACTACTTACAGCTACTACAGCAGGTACGCAGACAACTTTGCTTTCCCCTTTGAACATGACGAGTTGAGCTGCAGCCAGAAAATCACCGTAAGATGATGAACAACCAAATATTTAAGGGGAAACAGCACACCAAGCAAATCAGTCGCCTTCAAATCAACAAAAAAGAATAAACTCCGCAAGCCACTCACGCTCAGTACAACCAAAGAGGTAAACTTTCTTGTCATACAACACGCCACCCTCTTCAAACGCATTCTGAAAACATACACCAGAAATCACAACACAATCAGCAATTAATCAAATAAATCAGTTCAACTTTACTGAAAAACATATCACTAACGAGAAACCTAATCAGCCCAATCCAACCATACTTCTAGATTTGAGAAATCCCACTTGAATTGATACACGGTATCCAATTGGTCCCACTGCCATTACAACACGAAACGGTCACAAAAAGAAACACGGCACGGTCATAAACGAAGAAAATTCTACAAAATAATTGAACTGACAAACAAACCTCAGTTCCAACGGGGAATGTTTCCTTCCACAAATCTTCCTACAGAATCCAAAATATCAAACCCCCGTTTTCCATCAGTAAAACCAACACAAGGCAAAATAAAATTAAATAAAAAGCTAAAAAGTTATCATAGCCACTTCCAAGCTGAACAGTTAGCTTAACGAACTAAAACTGAAACGAAAACACAAGAAAGAAAAAGCGCCGAAAAAATCGTTTCTTCAGAACAAACAAAACGGTTCGCTTCATCCCATTATTGAGAATGCTCAGTTAAAGAAACGGTCGGAATCGTAATGAAAGCATTGAAACGGTGATGAAGATGAAGTTGTTCACTAACCAAGTTGCGCTTATCTTCGAAGTACTCAGGCTCGGATTGAGGCTTGGAGGTCCTGGCTCGTTTAGCTCGAGGCTTGTTGTCTTCGGCTGCATCCTGTTTGGCTTCTTGCTGCTGTTTCGTCTTCCTCTTAGTCCCCTTCCTCATTGTGCAATGAGTAATCTACGCTGACGCCAAACAAGGAAGAAAGATAAACGAAAGAAGAGAGAGAGAAAGAGAAAGAAAAATAGGGTTTGGGTTTGGATCGTGCGTGCGCAAATAGAGACTATAGAAGGCGCTGGATCCAGATTCAAATGAAGAGACAAGCAGAAAATAAATATAAATCATAAATTAGTGAATAAATATGAGAGATTTTATAGGGAGGGTGTGAGGCGTGAAAACAACGCACACGGCTATTCTTCCTACACCTTTTTATTTTTGTGTTCTATTTTATGTCCTTTTTATTTTTATGTTCTATTTTATGTCCTTTTTATTTTTATGTTCTATTTTAAAGTTTAAGTTTTTTTGTAATAAACTTATTTTAAAGTCGAATATAATAACTTTATTTAAAATATAATTTGCAATGCGAGTCAAACTAACTTAAATAAAAAGAATAGCTTATGATAGTATTTTTAATATGAATTTATAAATCCGATCCTTTGTATAAATCAACCTGCATAAAAATTATAAAGATACATAGATCGACGTAAATAAACGAAACATAAATATTTTTATAGATCTTTGTAAATTAAATAGGTTTTAAAATTATTTTTATAAAAGAATCTTTAGTTTTTCAGTAGAATTTTTGTTTTTATTTGGTACTTTTGTGTGATATTGAATTTAGCAGAAGGTCGTGTGACAAATTCTAATAACACTTGGCAGTGACAATGGTACAATCGAACATCCACTGCATCTAGACAAATTCATAGATCCGTTAAATAACTGTTATTTAAACCTTGAAATAAATTTTAGGGCAAGATTAGTAATTACAATTAATTTTACTTCCTATCTTTTAAAGAATAAAACAATTAAGTTGAATAATTGGTTAATTATTAGCATTACGTATATTTAATAAGAGGTGGATTGTTAAAAGTATTAACACTAGAAAAAAAAATGATATTCATTCTTATTTTATACTAAATAGATATAAAAAAAATTATCTCATCCCGAACAATATATAGTCATATTTATATTTTTTTTTACGATTTTAATATGAATTTTTTTATTTATATAAAAAATAAAAATCATTGTAAAAAGTATAATATTATTAAATATTTAATATTTAAAATTCTGTATTTTTATTTAATCGTTATCAAATATTTTGAAACAAAATTTAACTGTATAAAATTTAAATTAGAAAGTTAAATAACAATAGGAGATTTTATAAAATATTATGCAATTGTATGAAAAATAAGTATCACAACAGTAAAATATCTATTAATTTCGAAAATAGTAACATAATAAATTTTTATTCTCGTTTATTCACTATAAGATATTTTGAAACAAAATTTAATTATATAAATTTTAAATTAAAATATCAAATATAATCAAAGATGAGATAATTGTATAAAAATATTACACAATTATACGTAAATAAAATATTTATTAATTTTGAAATAAAATTAAAAAGATACTTTTAAAAGATTATAAAAATAAATATTTAAATTTATAAATATTTTAACTTTGGTAATTTACTTTAAATTTAAATAAAATATCTTTTTAATATACACTGATAAACATTATAACACATTACCTTCTAACTTAAATAAATTGATAAATAAGTACAAACAAGTCTACATATTACTCTCTCACTTTTTATATTGTTAGCATAACGTTATATGATGTCACAAAGTTAAGTCTGGCTTTGATTACAGGAAGATCTTCATGAAGACTTGCTTTTATATTCAAACTTTTATAATTTAGTATATTGATGTATAGGATGTGGTTTATTGATGTTATGTATTGTTTACCTTAGGTTGCGTTAAAATTTATTTTAAATTAGAAAACCCCATTTCATATTCAAGATAATTGTTTGTCAAATTATAATAATCGATTACCAAGTAATCAATTATGACTTTTGATTATAATTAGAAATTATGAGAATTTTTAAGCAAGTTTTTTTTATTGTTGTGCATTCATTAGATGCATAATCAATTATCATAATTGGATAATTGATTATCAAAATTGACAATAGATTTTTTGGAGGTATCCTTTACTGAGATTTCTATAAATTAGACTGGGACTCTCATTTTAAAATACGAAAAATAAAATAAGAAATAAGTGTATTTCGGAAAATTTTATCTGCATTATGCAGTGATAAGTGTTCTAGGGTTTGTTGAACCCTTGTGATGTGTCTTTGAGAACTTGGTGTGTTGGCATAGAACGAGAACTTTCACAGGGAGTGTGATTGAGTGTTGTTGTTGTTGGCATAGAGTAAGAACTTTCATAGGGAGTGTGATTGAGTGTTGTTGCTGTTGTTGAGTTAAAAGCCTATCAGTGAAGCATTTAGAGGAGGTGTTCATCCTTTGTGAAGATTCATAGGATGTGTTCATCTCTTGTGGGTTACAGGAGAAGTAACTTTCATCTCTTGGGGTAACAAGAGTAACAGTTTGTTGATTTGTGCTAGTGAAGCATTAATTCTCAGTTGAGATTAACAAATGGATGTAGGATCTGATCCGAACCAGAATAAAAATTACCTGGGCAATTTTCTCTATTCCTTACACTTTGATTTTGTTTAAATTGTTTAAAGTAATTTTTATTTACGAGAAAATTTATTAAAAGAATGATTTGCGATAAGAAACCAATTCACCCCCTTCTTGGTTTGTTGAACGTGTTAACCATTCTGCTGCGCCACTCTGACATATATGAAACAAAACAAAAATGAAAAAAAGTAAGTATAATCGATGAGTTAGTCTTTAACTATTACAAATAAAATGAACCAAACAAGTTTAGGAAGAAAATATAAAAATATTTTAATTTTTCTCTCTTATACATCCATCAAATTTTATTATATATATCCCAGAGTTGCTGCAAAAAATTTGGGAGAATCACATGATCAAGTGATATTTCATTTTCAAAAACTAATATTTCAATTTCAACTCAGAAAAAAAAGAGTTCCTTTGAGTTAATTTTCAAAATAGAATGAAACTTGAAAAATGAATAGAAACAAAATAAATATATGTTGTACTTTCTTCTTTATCTTCATGAAACAAAATAACTGAAAGATAAATATAATTAAGGGTTAAATATGTTTTTAGTCTCTTAACTATCGAGCGTTTTTTGGCTTAGTCCTTCTTCCAAACTTTACTTCATTGTCATCCTTTTCCTTAAGGAAACTATAATATTTAGTCATTCATGACCAACGACGTTAATTTTTTCTTAGGTTGCTAACGATGTGCCACATCGCTTTTCCTTTTGTTGAAACATGACAATCCTTCCTTCATGCATCTTCACGTTAAGGCTTATCTCCTTCCCTTATTCATCTCCATCATGGAGGTCACGATTGGTTCTAAGCGTGATAGGGCTTATCTACGACGGCGGTTTGGGTTTGTTATGTAAGTGCGAATGGGAACCTGAAGATTGAAGCTTCCATGAGAGGGTTCTGAAACGTGATTTAGGGTTGTTGCATCGGATTCTATGGCGGTTGGTGGCGATGGCGGCTTACGCAATAGGATGCTCACGATTGAGTGGTGCTAGTGCTAAAACAAGGAACATTCCACGTGCTTCCTCGCACGGGCACCCTCTAATGGTGCTACAATTGTAGTACCCACTACTGTAGTAGATCCTTAGCCTTGTTCGAATCAGCCTCAACATTCTCAAATTGCTTTTGGTTATGGTGGTGAATCAACTTCTTTGAAATCATATGGTATTAGTAGGGGTGGGAGAAGTTTCAACATCAATCAGAATTCGGCATCTAATGTGGTGGCAGAGAACCATGACTACTACAGTAATTATCCAGTAACTCTTCCTATGAGGGAGGCTATATTTTGGAAATCTAGAGCTTCTTGATGAGGAGGAATTTGAAGAGGTTGCAAAGTCCAAAACATACGATGAAGATGCATCAAATTTAGCAATGGAGTTAAGCCTTTTGGAGGAAAACCTAAAGGCAAATATATTATTGATTAAATTGCCTTCAAAACTGCCTATGGTTATACAATCAACTGAGATTGAAGCCAGAATTGGCCTAGTGTTGTGGCATTTTGTCATGAGAAGTTTTTTGGAGTTTCCTTTATTTGTAACAAAACAATCTTATGAAGTATAATATGGAAACAAATAGCTAATAGGCAGTTGAAAATGAATCTCAAGCATAATTGTTTGCTTCATAATTGGAAGAGTAAAAGAAAGTTTACATGATTAAACGATGAAGGTTAATTGAGAAAAAAGTAACAATTATTATAAGTGTACAATGTTGTAGATAATTTATTGGCTTTAGATATTTTTATGATTAAGGATGGATATTTTATTTAGTTAGAAAAGAATACGTGTCCTTTTGGTTGTGCATGAGAAGCATAGCAGAATCCACTAGCATGGTTTAATAAGCTCAGGGAGTGAAATCAAACGGTGGAAAAAAATAATATGAATTAATTTGGTCTTTTGAAGTAGGAAAGTGAAAACGGGGCTCCAGATCCACTACACCACGTTGGTTAGGATTTCATCAAATTGAAGCTAGGTTTAGGTACCAGATTGCATAGTGTGTCTTACCCACCATGTGATATATATTATGTTTATAGAGAAACCATTGTTATAGGCTTATATAATTCCTCAAAATTAATTTTCAATACCCTTTTATTTGAACAGGTTTTAATTGAGGTGGGACTTTAATTAAAAATACTGTTGTTGTTTTTGTTAGGATTTGAAAATGTCAATGGCAAGCGAATCAAGCTGGGTAGGGAGAAAGTCGGTGAAACATATCGAGGGAATGTCCGATGCTCTATCAACCGTTGTTGATCTTGGTTTCTCCATGTTCCCTCCCCGAACCCAGGTACCATATTGTCTTTGTAAACATTTATAGTTTGAATTTATTGAAAATCATAAAATTATGTAGGTCTTACTAATCTAATGAACCTTACCGATGCTTCTGTAGTTTTTAATAAATATTAACCAGTAGAAGGGTGCTGCTAGCACTCGTCTATTTTTTTCATCCAATGTGAATTCAATCTAAAGCATTGGGGCCAACACAAGCCTTCAAAATGGGGCTCTAAATCCACTGCACCACGAACTTTCTTCTCTTTCTACTGTTGATATTGAACATTTTTCATTCTCCATCTTTCATAACAAACCCAATGTAACCACCTCCACCACTCGTTTCGTACAAGCCCTCGCAAAGATCACC